ACCATCTCAAACCTTGAATGTATATCTTTACAAGGATTGCTTTCAGGGCAGTGAAAGTCAGTTGAGCGGAGAGATCAAGTTTTATGATATTTGTTTTTAAATAAGAACGTATATAAAATTTCTTATAACGCATATGTAATTTATGTTTCTCAGTTAATGTCAGCTGGTCAAACCACAGTAGGGCCTACTGTCATTTGTTTGTCAATGTTTTCAGTCAATGGTAAAAAATGTGTATCAATAGCATTTTATATAAATAGACAGTTTGCTACTGTATCTTAAAACTGAAATAAATTAATTTATTTGTTTTAGTTTTAATTTAGATTGCATAAAGAAAATGTGTAAAATAGTGTACCTATTTCTTTGTTTACATTTACATTGTTATTCCGTAACCATCACGACCCATAAGAACATAAACCAATAAACCTAATATGTCAAAAAATTTTATCTTAAGTTAGTTTTAAATTACATAAGCATGATCAAATTGAAGTTTTTCTTTACAATCCTTCCCACCATTTGTATAAACATCCTTGGTAAGTTTGGCTTAAATATGTTCAAGCACTATTGTGTTATGATGTAGCAAAGTTTGCATTAAAGTTGATCCCAAAGAGCTTCGCTTCACTCTGTTCAATTAGTTAGAATAGAACATATTTATTTTTACATTATTTAAGTATAAATTACTGTCAACAACATTTATAGTAATGCATATTCCATGTTGGACATGGCACGATCCATTTCCATTTTGAACTTGTTTTCTGTTTTTGAATAAAAGAACTTAGTTTAACAAGCCACTGACATAGTTTGTGCTGGTGTAAAACACGGTTTTATTTTGTCGATTTTGTTTAGTATTCTACATTTACATTTTCAAGAACAATTAATTAAAATTGAACCCTATATACCCTATAATAGCTGTATTATTAGTATTTTTACCTTATAGTTGTTAATATTGTTGATGGATGTATAAAGCCCAAAGCTTATTTTGCCATTTTGTTGAACATAAAGTTTACTAAACTTCCAAGCACAAAAGTTGGAAATAAATGTGATATTAGGTGTTATAAGTTTAAAACAAATCATGAATCAACATAATATTTAAAATAAAAAGTGCAAATAAATAAAACAATGAGAAATATTATAAAAGTTGCTGCTATCACTTGTCTAAAATATTTATCAACTATAATGTCAGCAAATTGTAAATTTAAACTATTCCTTCCTTAGGTATAGGTTAAGTTTGCTTTGAGCATAAGTAAACATGGAATATTGATCAATGTTGTCAATGTTGATCATATTGATTCATTGAGGAAGCTTATGAGGAAATCGCGACATGAAATTGTTAAAAGATTCTTAGAAGATTTTGCTTTGATTGCCACATTTATTATTCTTTGCATACACAATTTTCATACTACTATTTACGTTCTTTAACCGGTGTTATTTAATTTGTTTTACATTTCAATGTTTAATATGTGTCATTAACCTTTTGCTGATTAAATTAAAACAAATTTGTAAGTATTAGTTACCACTTTTTGTTATTTAGTAAGTTCAATGTCATAACAAATATAAAAAATATAAAAAAACTGAAGTTATCAAACATTACAATTAAAAAAATTTACAAACATTTTTTGTTAGCTTTTAAATGTAAAAAAGTGCTGATAAAATTCTTCTGTAGGTAGAAAATAAATGTTTCCCCAGTTTTGTATCAAAATTAAGCTTGGGAATTAAAATTTATAATTTACCAAAAGTAAAAGTAAACTTGTGAATCGAGAAGATAATTGAGGTTCATCCACTTAAGTGAGGAATCCATTGTTCTGAAATTATTAACTTGTTAATGAAGTCAAAACTAATTTACAGGAGTTTGACTTTCAAATTTATTCTATAAAATATTCTGAGTAAATTATATAATATTGATAAGTAATACGCATAAGGGGATGAGATAAATTAGTTTTTTAGACTCATGTATGTTTGTTCTGGAGCTATACTATTGTTTTGTTTATATTTTTAAATTTATTATTCATTATATTACTGGCTCAGCTTTAATTATGTTATTATCAATTATGTTATAATTTAATTATGAAATCCTTAACTTCATTTTTTGTAGGCTGTATTATAATTTTTATCATGTTGTCAAATTTATTCTACAATAATTATTCTTACAAATTTTAGTAATTTTTATCCATACTCATTAAAATATTTATTGCTATTTATTTTACTGTTTTATATATATTTTTTTTAATTTTACGAGGTACGTTTGGAAAGTAAGTTCTGTTTTGAAATGAAACAATAACGGGTATACAGCAAAGAAATTTCTTTTAAAAAATCTACTTTTCTTCCACTATTTTTTGACATAACTCCCGTGATTTTTTTTGGCATTTGTCATTGTGTGGTACAAGATTGAGTATAACCTATTTGTACTACTATATTTTATCATTTTTATTAATTTTTACTATTATTTTTAATTTCATTATATATTTTATTGGTTGATGAAGACTCCCACACAAATTCTCTAAATTTCTCTCAAGAAATATCTACTAGACTCAGTGTTAACTTGTCGTTGAAGTTTCTAGTTGTTCACCAGTTTTACAAGTCAATTAAACTGTCAAAAGTCCCTACACTTTACACATCCAGAGATCCAGGGCAGACTGTATTGACATAGAAAAACTTCTTTTAACATCGAGTAGACAGTTTACTTTGAGAAAATGATCTTACAAAATAAGAATTGCTTAAAAAATTAATTTATTACCAAATAAAAGTTTACTAGACAAAATATTGTATAGAATATAAATTATTTTATTAAATAATGCCTACAAAAAGTAGGTATTTAATTACCAAATAAGAATTACTGGGATATGAGGGCTTATTACAAGGTTGAAATTAGTAAAATATTGGATTAATTACAAAATATTGATTATTCGAAATTTAGGATGTAGGTATCCATAACATGCATAATAGTTGTATTCATAATTCAATAGCTGGTGTCTGATTAATATCATAAAAGGCAAAGAGTTGAATACATTAAGAAGGCTATAGGATACTGCTATTAAGCCATTGAATTTGGATTCTGCTAGTAATTTCTTTACCGATTGTAAAATTTGAACCTGACTTTGATGGGTTTGATTTATTTTATTTTACTTTTTTAACATGTCTCAAAACAGTATTCACTATTTGCACTAAAATGATTCAGGCAATTTAAGTATTGCTTGAGTGGGTTTTTTCATGCATTATCACTTACATTTCATGCCAAGTATAAGATATTTACATAAAATAATTAATTAATTACATTACCAATGACCAATGTAAAATTGTTGTATCTTAAGTAAAATAACAATGAAAATTAATACAAATGTGAATTAATGTCCTTGTTTGAGTGCGCTAATATCAGATAAATTTTTCTCCTTTATTTTGTTGGAAATTTTACAGTATACACTTGAAGCATAAGTAGCAGCTAGTTTAAAAATGAATAATTAATTTGCCAATAAATGTTTTTAAGTTGGTAAAATTACATAAAAACAATAGTAAACATTAGATAATGCAAATGTGCATCACCATGTACCTTACAGAAACATAACTAAACATTTTGGCTTCAGAAAATTTATAGGAAGTGAAATCTATTAGCGAGTATGATTAATCAATCATAAACCATACCCAAAAGAAGAAACTTTTCAACTTCACTTATTATTATAAGTCGTTAAGACACAGAGTTCATCAACAATTAGGTAATATCCAAGAGGCTAATGACTTTTGTAATTTATTAAAATTTAGGAAGAGGGTGAATTAAGAGCAAGAATAAGTCGCTAAGACGTTGTTGTGTTTTCTGTTGTTCCTTGATGTAATTAGCTCCCCTTCATTCTCCTTTTTTCGACTAATGTTCATTTAACTACAATCCATTTCAGGGTTTCAAAGTGGTAATAAAATTAAACCATGATTTATAACTGCCTTTGAATATTCTTTACTCAAAGTACAAGATGGTATAGAAATTCAATGCGATACTTAGAATAAACAAATTCTTACAGTAAGGAGTATGTCAAGTATGTGTTGGTTGTATGCTACCTACAGTTGGTGCTTTTGGCATTATGACATGAATGAGTGTAGTATCATGTATGATCGTGTTCTAATCTTTAGTAGGCCTATGTAAATATATTCTTTTTTTCAGTATTTAAATCACAGTTTAAAAATTGGTTTGATAAGGTTAAAACTTTACTCTCTAGCACTAGTTTTGACCAAAATAATACAGAGCTAAAGATAGTTTGTTTGATAATATCTATTATAATTAAACAAGACTTAAATACTTAACTAGATAAGCTTCATTCCAAAACAGAAAGCAGTTGTCAATAAATATATTGAGTGAAGGTTACGATATTCAAACACCACATGACACCAAAAGCAGTTTTAACATTGTTCTAAAATTCTTTCAATTAAAAAACAAAAAGTTCCATTTTTGTGAAATGCTCACAGTCAGTAGTTTTCAAGATCGCTGCCAACGCCAACCTTTCAACATCAATTCTCCGTTATTCCTTGAGTTAGTATAAAGTATAGAGATTTTCTGCTTAAGATAAGATTTAATTTCTTCGACTCTTTGTCAAGGTAATTTTGTAGCTATGTCAAACTAAAGCAGCGGCTATCACAAACTGCTGACTATCTAAACTCGACCTTATCTACTGCTTCTAACTAATTATGATATACTGTTGACTTTTGGATACTGAATTAGACATCCCATCAATAGGATATTCGGTAGTTCAATTTTTTTTTTTACTTAAGCCAATTTTTTTGACTCAAATATAAGTTACATAGTTGAGTTGACTTAGTTACTCACAAAATGCTACAGTCTAGAATTCTATTTTCCTCCCTTGGTTTTTGTTACTGTGTTATTCCATGTGACAACAATTTTACAGCTTACAATATGTTGTCCTTTAGGTATGGTTTGGTTTAACATTTAACTTTAAAATGTGAACGGAACGTCTAGTTCTACCCATAGTCTACTGAGCTTGTGCTCATCAATGACTCTATTTCAGACGCTGGGGAGACACCGTGGTACTCATCCTTCACAGCTGAGTCGTCAGATGTCTCGTAGCTATTCTCCCTCCACCGTGCCTGCCACCCCTGACCCGTCGTCACCGCTGGAGGACGAGGTGAGACATGTTAAAACAGGTCGAGGCATGTTTTGGTGTACCATGAGTTCAGATAAGTTGAGTCCTGCTACGACTTGTGGAGAGATGTTGAGACATTTTACAATTTGTTAAAATATTTTGAGAGTTGTTGAGTTTCATTAAAACAGTTGTGGCTTGTAGGATGTGTTATGATGTGTTCATACATGTTTAAAACAGTTTCAACAGGCTGAAACATGTTAGGACATGTTGTGATGTATGCATACATGTTGAGACGTGCAATTTGTTTTAAATTATCATTGGGGAAACACGAACATTGGCTCAACCTTGAGGAATATAATTACTACACAATACTGTCCTTGAGACACAATGAATTCAAATGTTGGAAATCAAGCATGATTGTGGTTTGAGAAATTCATGCATAATTAAGTACAATCGTAAGGCAAAAGAGTTCATCTTGGAATGTAGTTTTGCCCAATATCAGTTATAAATAATTTTTCTATCTATTACAAGTTGGAGGCAGCAATTGATACTAGTTAGTAGTTATACTATCCATATAAAAAATGTTACAGTATAATTTCACAACATAGAGGCGAAGGAGCTGATAAGCCTGCCAATCAGATGTAGGTGGAAATAATGTGCCTGTACAGTTTCGGTTATTTGTGATGCAGTTGCAGTGGCGTTGCTTGGTTAAATTCTAGGGGGGGGAGAAGCCTCAAATTTCCCAACTGCTTAACATAGATTTCCCAACTATTTTTTATAAAAAAAAATCAATTTCTGTACTATTTTTAAAAATCTACAAATTATTATACTACACTGCAGTCACACTCAATTCAGTATTTATTAACTTGCATTAACAAAACATAGCTAGTTTTACATGTATACAAAATTACTCAATTCAAAAAACGTCTAAAACTTCTACCAATTCATAATGAAGTTTTATGACTTCAAAAACTTGAATAAGTATTGTTTCAAATCCAAAAAACTTTACAAACCATTGTGGTAGCAGTGTAAAATTTTAGGGATATAAAATAAGCCTAGTACAAATTAGTATAGAAAAACAATATTTTATTACAAAATAATGAAATTACAATACTTTTAGAAGTTGATATTAAGATCAACACTTTAACTTTCATAAAACTTACAACTAGGCCTAAACAAGTTTGTAATGATGAAATATTATTATCAGTGTTGTGAATAATATTATTCTAGCCTAGAAAAGAATAAACCTAAAATAAGACTTGTATAAAATAAAAACGTTCAACTTGGTTGATAATAAACTTATACATACAATAAAAATGTTAACCTTCATCTTCATCAAACTAGAACTTGGACAAAAATCAAACTCAAACGTGAAAGTCAAACATCAAATTTTAGGTTATGTTTTGTCTATTGTCTATGTAGATCTGTTTCAGAGTGATTAGTTGATTCATTTTTGTAAATTCTTAATTAGGAATGATAAATCACTTTTGTAGATTTTTTAGATAATATTCAGAGAATAAATATTTCATTTAGGTTATTAAAAATTAGAGTTTTAAAGGCAATACCGATATACAAAACCTATCTTTAATGTTATTTTAATCTACCTATTAGCAAGTACTCCTGTCAGTAAGCCTGCTCCAAATACTACAAAAAAAGGTATAAAATATAGTTTATTTGACTGACATGAAAAATATTTTTGAACTTCTTGTAAACACTAACAAACAACATAATTGAACTGAAGAGCTACGCCGCTTGCACTTTCAAAATTCAAACTCGCAGTCTCGCAGACGAACCATTCAGAAAATCATCAACACAGGACAGGATCAAGGTAGCCAACATACGTCCAATAAGGAACAAAATTTCTCGTAAACGAAATTCCAACAAACTATACCGCTAATTGGTTAACGATTTCTTAAAATAAGGCGTGTTTAGCCATGGTTTAGCCTAGTTTAATCAAAGTTAAATTAAATCAAAGAAACATCAAGTTTATTCGTCCAAGTCAAAGAAATTTTGATCTTTGATGGATTTTCGCAAATATTTTTAAAATTTATTTAGTTTAAAAATATATTTTTCTTGTATCTGATTTCCCAACTGTCCCAACTCGTGGCAAGGAAATTCCCAACTTTTCTCTTTCCAGGATTCTAGGGGGGGGAGGCTCCCCCCCCTACCCCCCCCAAGACGACGCCCCTGTGCAGTTGTATCACTCACATACATGGTACATAATTTTCAAAATATCCCACACTCTCACATAAGGCATTTTATATTTATTTTGTCACAGAAATGTTTAACAAAACAAGTAGTTAGTTATTGGTACCATATGATCAGTATACATATTATGAAAGTCACATATTGGTATAGGCTACTCCCAATAATATTTCTTGCACAAATAACACATCACTATCTATTAATTATATGTTTCCAATTGGCCTTGATATAGACTACTACCAATTTACCATTGATTTGCGACTGAGTAATTTTCCTGCAACACTTAATTGTCGACTTGAGATTCAAGCTGTCAGAGTCAAGTTTAATCAAAGGATGGTTGATCACGATCAAACTCTGATCAAGTCTAGTTTAACATCTACATCAAAGATCACAGGTACAAGACTAGTCAAACTGGAGCAGAGGATCTAAGGCGTAGTTTTGTCTGAGATTGTATCTCAATAGTAATCAACTACTTTGGAATTTACTCATCATTATGACAATATATCACATTATTATTTTTGTGAAAGTAATTTTATGTTTAAGTCGAGTACATTATGGGTTCATCCCTATGTATGTGTGGGCTTGCTATGAATTGGATATCATCCAAACCATAAAATTCTTCTTGAAACAAATTTAACAAAATAATGATAGTTTAAAATTTGGTCATCAGATCCCTTTTATATCAAATTTTATGTTCACAAAACAATTAAACACTTTTGTCAGCCTTTGGAAAACCAGATTCCTCCCTATATGCAATGTAAAATCAATGATATTATAAACAATCAAACACAAACATTGTCCAAACCGCTGAATTATACTTTAAAAAGTACTGCAAGCTGCAATAATATTAATTTTATTCCACTTACTTTTGGGGGTAAAACACATTAAATGCTACAAAAAAAACTTGCCTACTTGTTTGAAGGAAGTAAGTTTTTGTTGATTCGATTAAAAGACAGGAAGATACTCCTATAATTTTTGTAAAAACATTTTTGGTTAATATTGTTATATATATATTAAGGATGTTGATGTTAGTTAGTATAGCATGAGAATTCCAGGGTAATATGGCCAGGGAAAGTTAATTTAATGCAAAAAGAAGCTTCAGTGAAAACATTGAACAGTAAATCTCACAAATAATATTTCTGCAGGTTTTCTATGACCAGCCCAGTTTAACGGATCCGTCGTCTGCACCTGTCATCACAGCTGACTCAGTAACAGACTCGCCCCATCCTGCAGACAGGTTCACGCCTGCCATTGTACCAGAAGAGGTTCTACCCCAGCAAAGGTGAGTAACCTAAAAGTATATTTAATTGATAAATCTGTGTGAACTTGTTTGTATAAAGCTCATAGAAATTAATTTTCTCGGGTAAGGTAGCTGTATTCCTTTTTCAGAAACACTCCTGACTTTAAGCCATTAAAATGGCTATACCTATTTCAATATATTCATTCTTGGCTTTTGTAGCATCAATTAGGTCGAGTTGAATTTGATTTTAAGATTCTTCCCTGTTTAATGTCCTCCTAACTACTAAAAGTTGTTACTTCATCCTCAATCTAACATCATAACATTTATTTGTTGTTGTAAAAAATTCAATATTTCAAGCTTTTACACCTATATTAAAGAAGCTTTTAAAATTTTAAGTTTTTAATTTATATCTAAAGCAAGGTCCAACTAATAGTACTAAATATTAAAAAATGCAGCATTAAAAACCTACCAACAGTAAAAATGTCAACGTCATATCTTCAAACAGTAACAGAGTGAAGAAATGAGTAAAGCTCTAAAGGATTATCTAAAGTACCCTCTTTCAATGAATCATATTGTTTATTTTAATAATTTCTAGGCCAACCTGGCTACAAACTGCATTATGAGAATCGTTCTCTCATCATGGTTCCCAAATGCTCATTAAACCAGAATGGCCCATTAATTAAATGCCCATTAAGAGGGTTCCACCCAGACGTAAACATGGTCTTACAAAAAAGTTCCTCGTGGCATTATTAAAGTGGTTATCGAGCTACAATAAAATGTATAAAATTCACAAAAATCCAAACTATGCCCTGGATGAACTAAAACTGTGTAACTGTTTCTTTAAGATCATTTTGAAAATCTGTAAATTAGTCTTTTTCACATGTGATTATTTTAGCTTCTAAATAATACAGTAGTTAAAAAAATTATTTCCAGCCATTGCAAGCTCTGATATGTTAAGAACACAAAAAGCACACAATCATTGGAAACAAATTAGTTTTAGAGTGTTGAGAGCTCTTGTACCCTATAGGCATGTTTGGAAACATGATTATGTTTAGCTGCCATCTTGAATTGACTGGGCTGAACCCTCTTAAATTAGCCCAATGAAAAATGGTATCTGGGTCTGGAAACGGTCATGCTTGGAATCGAACCAGCGATCTTTCAGATTTGAAGATGAACACTATAATCACTCGGCTACTCAGATAATTGCCTTCCAGATATTGTTATAATATCCACCCAGATATTCGCACAAAATCCTTTCGGTTAATTTGTAGGAATCAAGAAAGTTGGGGAACAATCGTTAAGAGAATCTCAAGCTTCATAAAGGATCTGAAATGTTACGGGTTTTCCTGTCATGAGGGTACACAATAAGCGGGAAACAGCTGTGTGGAATTTAAAAAATGACAAGCCTGGCTCTTGATCTATAGTCAAAAGTCGAGTCATTATTAGTCTAAACAAAATATTTTATTGGTGAATCATTCCAGGATGCATCGGCTGTCCAGCTGGAAGCGACAAGACAAACAGCAAGACCTGGTAGCTGTGGGACAAGTTGGTCTCAACAGAATATACAACCACACACTGGATGGAGTCTTGGACAACTCTGACAGACGACAGTACGGGATGGGCATCGTCGGACGATTGTTTGGGTAGGTATCCAGTATGTTGTTTAATACGATTTCAGTTTTACCTTCAACTATTAATGTAACCCTGCATCCATAATTTAATTAAAGCTCAATGGTAAAGGGCAGCTGGGTCCATTTTTGGAGAAATGACAATAACTTTGTACAGAATAAATCCTTCTCAGGAACAAAAAAAATAGGAGTCATAAAATTAAAAGTCATACAAATCATATTAATGGTAACACAAAAATCTTGCCTATCTGGTATCTGATAGTAGACACAGAAGAGATTAAAATATACTGTCTTAATTCAAACCCTCCTATCAATTCATGGACTCAATCGTCTAGGTTGATTTATTTATCCTATGGGTTTCCTCTGTTCAAAACTGAACAGTACTAATCAGAAACAATTGTTTCAGGCGATCGCTGAAGAGATCTGTGACCAATCGAGAGCCAGTAAAGGAACAACTGGAAGATTTGGAAGACCATCGTCCATTCTTCACTTACTGGGTGACGACTGTGCAGATACTCATTCTTTTCTTTTCTCTCTTCTGCTACGGCTTTGGACCAATCGGCATTGATCTCCACCAGGAGTCGGGACTGGTCAGTTTCTGATGCCAAAGAATTTTTAGAATCAATAATAAACTTTTGATGACACTCGACAAATTAAGTAATTGTTAGGGTGTTAAACAGTTAATGATGTCAAACCATGAATGCAAACTCAGAAACTCATATTTGAAACATAAGTAATGTTATAGTAAAATTTATTTCTAAAACGTCAGAGGTAGAAAGTATTGTTCGTTCGACTATTAAAAAACTTTACAGAATTTATAATTTGTAGTTTAATATTTTAAAATTAACTTCTATTCTAGTACTTTACCTATATTTTTCATCAGAGAAAATCGTCCAAAACTACAAAGAAAAATATATGAAAGATCCCGGAAAACTTTTATTGGAATTAAAACCAATTTTTTTCTTGAGTTTTTCTGATATTTTGATTAAAACCTTTATTTTAATCTTTGGAGCGATGTGTCCACCAGCTTGTGACAGTGTCAAGATCACTGGATACAGTTTCTTTTAATTGTGTTTTACAATTGCTGAATGTTAATATTTTGAAGTATATTTTACATTTAACTTTTCTTAAATTTCTGTAGAAATGGTCTGATTGATATAATGTTAAATTTTATTTGTTTTAAACAGAAATGTGGCTCAAAGAAAAACTATTGTACTAACATTTAGGGATACAAAGGGTTTTATCTGCTTTTCCATAACTTTCTTCACATTAAGATACCTTGTATTCATCTTCAGCTATTTTTTTCACTTGATTTATTTCACACCCTTTTAATTCAGGTGCTGGTAACAAGTCTATCACTGCAACAAGTAGAGTTTAGCGAACCTGCCAACTTCTGGATAGGCCCGAGAGCGGTAAGTTCATAAAAAATGTGTTCACCCCTTAAAATTTGTATGCAAGACGTGTGATAAATAACCTGCATATTTTTTCATAGTTTAAGAGGATGAAATGGTAGATAAGTCTTTATTACTGATGATTTCAAAAACTTCCACAATTTTTCCCTATGCATATATTGACTATAAGTTTTTCAACCAGAACATCTTGTTCATAAGAGCTTAACACTAAGGTAGTAGAGTTTTAGCCTTTACTTTGTGCCAAATGTTTGTGCAAATGCTGCCACTCTCAATGCAGCTTGACATTTATAGTGAAAATTTATCTAACCTAGAAGTTTAATCTAGAAGTGTAGCCTGCAAATTGCTTTAGCAAAGCACAAAAACAGTTTGCTTTGGATACAAATTGGTAACTATTGGCCAGTAGCACTCTTGTTTATATAATTCTAGGAAACTTCCTTACTTCAACAATTCGTTAAAACCAACATATCTTTACTTTTTCCAGGCGGATTTAATACACCTTGGTGCAAAGTTTGCCCCCTGCATGCGGAAAGACGCAAAAATCATCAAAGAGATAGAAAAAGGGAGGGAAAAAGAGCGGGAGACAGCTTGTTGCATTAGGAACGATGACTCAGGGTGTGTGCAATCTTCTCAGGCGGATTGTTCGGTGAGTAAAGAAGTTTTATTTTGATCTAGACCTTAAAATGTTTCTATGTTTGTTACTTTATTCATCAAAAGGAGTTCAGAGCACAAATGTGTTCCTGAATAATTGGATCACACTGAAGTCGGTGATTAACCATTTGGTTAGGAACTCACTTGACCATACTCCATTCCACTTTCACTGTGCAGGAAAGAGATCTCTTAAACCATTTGTCATTTTCAATCCTCCTAAAACTTCAGAACATCAAAAACACTACTTTATAAATTTTTTCTTATGCAGTATACTACTAACTTTCACAATACCAAAGTTAAAGTCTAAATAATTAATTCAAAATATAGGTATCAATTCACCTTAGTAAAAGGCATTAAGGCTTTAACGCTTTCACAAAGGTACTCATGAGGACAGTTGATACAACCCCCATGTTACTAAACATGACGTTTCCAGTAATGTTCATACCATTACTATTAATCGTAAGACCTGTAATACACAGTGGACGTGGAATTGAGCGTAGAATCTAAATTGAGACATATTATCGATAAAAAAAACCTAAACATATTTTACCATAAGGAATGACATAGTTAGGTTTTCAGGAATCTTTAGACCTGTTCATTTGGCATTCAAAGTTTAGACTCTTCTTTACACTCATACTTCACCCATACCTATGTTAAATATATGCAAAATTGTTTGTCTACTGCACATAAATATAATACATTGCATATACATGATATAGAAACTGGACCAAGTTAGTAAGCATGTAAAATTTGGGTATTTTTAGAAGATTTTTCACTTTTCAGTAATATTCTGGGTTGGTGAAGAAAAACACTTGTTCCCAAGTATGCTAAACTTAACATTAATAATGATCCAATGCTGACTTCATATAATATTTTTGTAAGTGTCCTAACATTTTCCAAATAAAATATTACTGTTTTTTTTTTTAAGAAGGTATTTGGAAGGATGTTAATGCAAAGCTATTTAAAAATATTAATATATCCCTGTTTGAATAATCATAAAACACAGTTTAATACTAGTTTTAGGAATTTTTAGAAAATGAATAGAGTTCAGCTAGCTTATCTGGGAAAATTAGAGTCCAGAGGTTAATAGATAGACAATAAAAGAACACAAAACAAAATACTGATATTTTGTCCTGATGTACGAGGAAATATTAGAAAGTAGGTTGAAGAGAAAAACATTTCTTCAACGTGTTGTGTTCTTTCATTGCCTATCTATAAGCCCCTGGACTCTAATTCTCTCAGGTAAACTAGCTGCTCTGTTCCTTTTCAAAAAAATCCTCACCAACCAAATTGACTTACCTTTAAAATATAACACTAGTTTCAGGCTAGTTCAATGTTATAGCTTAACCATTAGTTACATGGAGTACCTATGTAGAACCTGATTACATTTCATTGACAAGTGCAAAGTCAACTACTCTGTCCAATGCACACAACATTAATGTCCTCGGCAAACAGTCTATCACGGCAATCGCAAGCAATCAATGGGTAATCACAATTGCGATTGATTGATTTATTGTTGACCGTTCATACGGCTTTTTCCATTTCACTTGACAGAGTAAACTTTGCATTTCTTATTTTAGACTTCATAGTTTACTTTTAAGATTACGAAGAAAGGTCAATAAGTAATGATTGTATCTCTAAATGATTGGTGTTTTATACGCTGTTGTACTTATGTTGTTTATTTTCTCATGCTGATTACGCATCATGGGGACCTTATCCAACACCTGAGACCAACGGTAAAAATCGAGGCACGTCAAATGCATGAACTTTACTCTCATGTGTGTTTCTGTAACAGTACTGATTTTTCTTTTGTGATTTTTTACAGTAGTGTTGGTTTTGTTTGTTTAATGTCAGAAGTATTGTTTTTTTATCACTTAACTTTTATTTTACTTGTCAAACTAACTTAATTTAATGTGAGTGTTAATTTTTTACTGTACCATACAGTAAGTAGACTTCATCTCAGTCAGATATATTTAGTGTGACTCATCAGGATGATTTGAATGATAACTTTTGTAGGATTTATACATTTGTACATTCACGTTGATTTCCATAATCACGTGAACAAGCAAGTCGTAACCTGTTTCAATGTGTAGGCCTACAGCTGTTTTTGTTATATTGGTTTAAATACTGAAGTTTGCTTATTTCGAACACATAAATGTGTGGTTAATTCGTTAATTTTCGTTCCAACCAAAGTGTGTACTAACCAAAATTTTTAAGTTAAGACAATGTACGAGAGGGAATACTGACAACCTTACTTTCTTAACAATAAATATGGGAAACATTCTCATATAATTTTGTGCATGTTATTATAATTATCTATTTTGATTTATTTTACTAAAGCTGATACAATGAAATCACTGTGTGATTATTTTCAAAAATTAATTTATAAAGCAGACATAGAGTTGTTTGACACATTTTTATTAAAAACTAAACTACCGGTATACCAAAATGCAGTATGTTTGAATGCAGGGAGTTTGACAATTTGTATCTATTGTTTAAGACTAGAGAAATAAGTTAGTAATACAAATATATTTTACTCTTGTATAAGTAGTTCTTTAGTATTGATTTTCATTAGAAAAGTCTTGAGCTCAATTTCATTTTGATTTCAATGGTTAAATGAAATATACTGCAGGAATAAATTGAATTTTATTAATATTCCATAATATGTTTATAGAAAACCATCTCAACGTGGAAGAAATGGTCGCCTGGAGATTCTGGGCCTGGGGGTAGAATATCTGGAACTGTTTGTGGGCTGGACCCCAAGTAAGTAAAACTTTGCAAAACCACAGAGAAGTAAGGTACAGAGAAAACACACTTAAGGGACAAACGTGTGCTTTCAGCTCTAGTATGTTGGGGCGGAAATATACTTTTGACGAGCAAGAAAGAGCCCAAAGGGCGAGCACTATGTGGAAATTCCTATCGCACAGGGCACAGGGTCTTCCTCTACCGTGAGTGTTGTAGTACGTATGATGGGGAGGCCAAGGGTGATGGTGTTGGACTTTGTCCTAGATACCAACACTAGTGCTAGACACCAGCACTAGTGCTAGACACCACTTAAGTGTTCCATTGTATGTTTCCTCTGTACTTCTTTGTGGCAAATCACAGATAACACACTGTTGAATGTTAACTCTCACAAGATGCTCTGTTTTGCCATGTAAGTTTTGGAACTGGTGCATAAGAAGTTTCCATATACAGAAAGAGAAACATTAAGTTATTTAATTTTTCCAAAGAAATTATAAGGATAAATAACTTAATTAGACAGAAAATGTATGGCGTACAACTCAAATTGATCAAAAACCTAAATTCATCTCACAGCTTATTATACAGCCACTATGCAGCCTATATTAAAATTGAAATTTTCTGTAGAAATGACAAACCATCGCAACATTTCTAGATTCTGTGAGGCACCAGCGTCTGTGGCTCCGTATGAGTGGCCCGATGACATCACAAAGTGGCCCATCTGCCGTAAGACGTTCACAGGCAGCGAGCGTCGGCTGCGCGAACGACAGAAAGATCGGCTCACAGCCGAACACATGGTATGCGAGGTGATCGGTCACCCTTGCTGCATCGGTATCCACGGCAGCTGTCGGATAACAACGAGGGAGTACTGCGACTTTGTCCACGGGTACTTCCACGAGGAGGCGTCGCTTTGCTCGCAGGTGTGTGAGCCTATATGTAACCTTGGGGTACACCATATGGTCCTTGTATTTCTAGGCTGCAGTATTGAATTATTGAGTTTGTCTAATAGTGATGGCTTTGGCTCTTTGAAGTATCTATTGACTTGTATCTATTAAGAGAAAGCCAAATGGTTGATTAAGCTTTGTCCCTAGAGTCTACCTATAGCTTACTTGGTAAAATTGATATTCAGGGCTGATCCTTAAGGTCATATAACAAAGATATTACATCCTAGAGTCTAGGATTTATTCAGAGAGTAGATAAAAGCATACTTTGTGTTGTGTCACATTTTATCTTGTATCTACAAGCCCTACAAACTCCCAAGTAGTCCCTTGAACTCTCCAATGTAAACCAGCTGAACTCCACTTAAAAAAAACCCCTGCATCATTCACTTGGTGTTCTCTTAAAATATCAATTTCATGACATATCTTTCCTATCATTTCAATAAATCGTATCAATAAATATCCCAAACAATTGAATAACCCTTATCCTTATAAAAATTCTATCTTATTTTATTAGCTCTTTGAGGTGGATACTTTTGTTTTAATCATAAAAACTTTTTTTCTCACTGTTTGCTGTTTATTTTAGGTTTCTTGCTTGGACAACGTATGTGGGATGATTCCCTTCTATTCACCTGAAGTGCCCGACCAGTTCTACAGGCTGTGGACCTCTTTATTTTTGCATGCAGGGTGAGATGTTTGAGAGAAATCCTTTTCCTCTAGATAGTTCTCCGACCTTTCTATCACACGAAACAGGCATGGCCCGATTAAAAAAAAATCTTTTATCTGTGAAATAGAGTGCAAGAAATGGTCTCACATTGACTGAAATTATTGAACTGGTGAATCATTGATTGAAATTGTTGATCATTGACTGTGAAGTGATATGTTTTTGTTGTTATATATTCTGTAAATAGATGTATTTACAGTACTGTGTGTAATTCTCATGTGCACTGTGTTATTCCTTTGCAACACGATGTAATTCTTCAGACTATAGTCATGCAGAAAGTAATTTTTTTATATCCGTCTATTCAGTATAAAGTCATTGTCCTGGTCCCACAAGTAACAGTTAGTAGAGGTTTTATGCAGGTGACTAATGCTTGGTGCTTAACTTCCGAGTCCAGACGGGGGACAAAAAAAAAAAACACAAAAGGGACAAACCTGAACGCATAAGTTCTGTTTTATAGTAATACTGCACAAAAAGCGCACTATTTCACTACTCAATCATCCACAGGGTATATCTGCTGATAACCTAAAGTCGAATAAAAATGACTCAGCTAAACTTTTCTTTTTCACTTTTGTTCCATGATTACTCCTGGCCAGCCACACCTCCATTAAATACCCTCAGTGTGTTTCAAATGTTTTGTTCTATGCAGGGTCATTCATCTAGCCATCACTCTTGTACTGCAGTGGTTCATGATGAGAGATCTAGAGAAGTTGACCGGATCACTGAGAATCATGATCATCTACATGGGCTCCGGCGTCGGAGGGAACCTAGCCAGTGCTATCTTTGTACCTTACCGCGCTGACGTGAGTGATTTTTTCAGTACTTTAGTTGATTACGTACACGGGTTGTTACCAAGAGGAAAGAGACTCAGTCGCTATTATTGTAGTAAATTATTTGCGAGTTATATCTTTGAATTTATAAAAAGTAAAAATAGTAAAATGTTGCAGAATAATGTGGTCTGAGTAGAATTTAGCCATCCCATCTGTATGGACCAGCTGTAAATATTTTTTTCAAAAGAAAAATATGGTCGGATGTGCCTCTTATGGACTGTGATTCAGATTTTGCCCTTTGGTAAAATAATGTGACATAAAAGATGATATAGTTTACAATAACTAATCCCATCAGTTTGGCTTGGTAAAAGACTTGACCAAAATAGGAAATTTACATCAACAAACTGTGTTGGTGTCTTAATTCAAATGTACATCAATTTTGATTCTAAAACTAACGTCAGCTTCGACATATAAATGGAATGTCAAGTTCTAGCAATATTCAAAGATAGTACTCAGTCGACCATTATTATTAACAAATGACCACCTCGCAAACAGTTGTTGACATGTTAAATTGTATTGAATAATATTCATATTGAGTTATATTCTCTCCCTCGTTATCCCTTTTTATGCATTTAATCTTTCTTAGCCATACTGACAGCCTCCTGTCCTCACAGGTGGGGCCCGCCGGGGCTCAGTTTGGTCTGCTTGCCTGTCTCATCGTTGAAGTGCTCAACAGCTGGCAGATGTTGAAGAGTCCGCACCATGCTCTGCTCAAACTCGTCTCTATCGTGCTCTTCCTGTTCGTCTTCGGGCTGCTTCCCTGGGTTGACAACTTCGCCCACCTCTTTGGCTTCATCTTTGGCTTCCTCCTGTCCTTTGCGCTCCTTCCGTTCGTCTCCTTCGGCGAGTACGACAGACAGAAGAAAATCTTCCTTATATGGGTGAGGATTATGGTCATATCATGTTTATCTATAATTGTCAATACAAAATTAACTACAGCTGACTCTTTATAATCTTAAACTAACGGGAAAAAGAGAGTGTTAATAATTTTATTCATTATTTGAAAGTTTGCAATGTTTACTTAGAATAAAACTCTAACTGATTTAGTTTATCAACACTTAAAATATACTACAGTCCAACTGATCAATCAGGCTAAGCACAGGAATGTAATTATTCTCCTATAGTTGCCATAAAGACTGTAGAACCAGAAGCCGATACAGGAATGACAAAATACATCTGTCAAATCATTAATTGAACTCCAGTACAGTATTGTATAGACGTTGGGTGACTAGCCCCATCAAGATCAATAATATTAAGTGTAAAATTATCAAATGCCAAGTGTATGTTACTGTACAACTGCTACTGATGATAATTATGACGATGACGAAGCTGACTATGCTGATATTGATGATGATTATCATGTTGTTGTTGTTGATGCTGATGAAGATTGCTCCACAGGTCTGTCTGATGACGTGTGTGTTCCTCTTCCTCACCCTGTTGTTGCTGTTTTACATCACTCCGATCTACGACTGTCAGATCTGCAGCTTCTTCAATTGTCTCCCTCTCACCGACCACTTCTGCTCGGCTCAGAACATCAACTTCAAAAGAGAGGTGAGTTTTAGTCAAATCCATATCAATGTTAGTATGAATTTAAGTTAACAGCTCTTCAATATTTGAATAAAAGTAAAAGTATCAGTCTTGATTGAAAGCTTCATAATCATAACTAAAAAAAGTAAAAGTTTCTGTAATTTAAATAATAACCTTGAAATCTGTGTGCTATTTTTCTAATTTTTTTATCAATTTTTTACAATTCTTTATATATTGTGATGTTATTGCAGGTATGACACACGGGGTTGCGGCGTAAACCCTACGTCGAACATCGACCGTCGCTCCCCCCGACCTCTTGGCTTGTCTTCAAGAAAGGTGACTCGCGCTTGCTGATGGTCGTCGCCATTTTGTGACGACTCCAGTTCACTATCTCACCATCGGTTTTTTTGTCTCAGTTTAATTTATTTTCACAGAACGTTAATGTGTAAATTTCCAACAGATACAGTAGCTTTGAATCGTTCATGCACAAGTGAACACTAAATTTTGTTTGCAAAAGTTTTTACATTCATGAACTGGAGTCACATGATCTAAGTCACAGCTGAGAGGTCTTTGTATAAATGTATAAACACCGCACATGGTAACGCCGTGACTGATTAACTATAAGTGCAATCGTCAGTGTATGAACACTCAGTGCGACGCAGACGAGGGACAATATTTTTATCATAGTGGGTATTTTGTAACCATGTATTATACTATACATATTATATATATGGAAGGTGTGAACTCGCGCCCCTGATGTTTTCTAAGTCTTTCAGATCATAGGGCCGAGCCCTACGGGGGTTTTCGTTTCCGATCCCGGAATCAAAGTTTTTTTTTCCGGTGTACATATACCGTATTTATTAGGTGGGACTTTGCAATCGGATTGGATGGATTTGGTCTTGCTCTTGTGACAAGTGAGGTGAGTGCATTTTGGTTTCCCTTGGAGTTTTCAGGTGAATGTTCTTTCATTCTTATTGATAAAAACTCTATGGTACCTAATTTTTTACAAAAAAATTTCAGTGTGCCCATTCAAGCTCAATAAAATGAAACTCTGGCTTATTGAATTAAGTTGGGAAATAATAATTCCTCAAATACAAATTTCAAATCTGTTTGACTAGGCCTTTACAAATTTCAGTTACAATATTATACATAAATTCATAAATAAAATCTATGATAAATTTACTCTTTCATTCATGGATATGGTAGGGAATTTCAAAGTCACTGTGGCATAACTAATGATAGATTTTTTTATCAGTTCTATATTAAAAATAGCAATTTTTCTCCAAGAAAAACCAAATTGCATTTCACAATTTGTGTTATAACTTTAAAAGACACATTGCATTTTTATTTAGTCCTTATATAATTCCATGTACAGCGTTTGCAGTATTTAATATTCATCAGATATTTTGATGTTAATTCTTAGTTTTTCCAATGAGGTGGCGTTAAGTGTGATACTCAAGTTATATACAATATTTTGAAAACAACGAATGCAGTATTTTTATTTAATAACTATAAATATTGATAGCGGTTGTTTTAAACAACTTAATTGTTTATTGTTTCCAATTTGGAGAAGGTGAATAGCTAGATTCGTCTCTCGTACTGTTTTTTTGTTAATTTTTAAAATTTGTTAAATTGTTTTTGATATTTTATAAGCTATGTTAAGTTTGGTAACAAAACTTAAAGTGTTTTATACAAACTTTCATTTGACATTTTTCACAGAGACTTATTTACCTTACGTTTCAAAAACATTTTCCTTTCCAACAAAGAGCAAAAAGTTATTCGCTCAAAACTAAAACTGCACTGATTATTTGATAATCCAGCACAACGTTTCAGCACATATAATTTACTTTTTATACTTTTATATTTATATATTATTGTAATTTTATAGACTTTTCAAAGTAGGTAATTTGTCGTTTTCAGTTGAGACTCCTACTTATTTATAAATACACTTTTAATAGTCCTAATACTAAATTCTATTGTTCAACTGTTGTCTATTATTTTTAGCATTTCCATTAACAATTTGTTGGTTTACAAAACTAACTAGGCCTAAGGTTAATTTATGTACTTAAGAGAAATGTTCACCATTATTGGTTTTTACAGACAAATCCACTAGGTACAGACGATTTCACGTTGAAGGTATTGTTTCAGCATTATTTTATACATTTTGTATTTTTGCTTGAAAGAATATTCCTGTACGCGTGACATGAAAGCGTGTATGTTTGTATGTATGTACGGTGTATGTACGTACAAGTGTGTACAGTTGGTCATGTACTGGTTATATAGTGTAACGGTGTTTTTTCACACACAATAACATACTGTATAAATCGTTTATTTCTTTGTATATCTACGGGAGACCAACGCCTTATAATTGAAATATATATCCATTGTAACTCATTTGTCGTTTACTTCTTCTTACGATCCTTTGTTTCCTTCTTTCTATCTTTGATCCTGTTTAATAAAACCTTGGTGTATTTAAAATTAGGAACAAGGGAAACAGTTTAACTCATGCAATGAAGTAGGCATTAAGTGATGAGTGGCAAAGCTTTAAGAAATACAGTAGTCACTTCAAGGAACATGGCCATAAGAGGCAGAACTTTGTTATTTCTTAATTTTATCCCAAAATTAGAACTAAATATTTCAAACATGTAAACATAAATGCCTACTTTTTTGTTGTGAAAAAGTTTAGCTATTTTACACTTTATCACTGTTTCTTTTTTAATTAAGTATGGGGAAATAGTTGGGAAATATTACTAAAGTTAAAATAATATAATTTATTTTCTAAGACAATATTTCAAATAGTGATTAGAATAGAAAAACAAAAACATACTGTATTACAAATACAAATATGTATAGTAAAAAGTTCCCCACAAAGACTTTTCATATTTGTGTGGGGACAAACTGTTGTTGCACACAAGTTATTTAACTTAAGGAGTATTAAGTTACAGTAGATTCCCACAAACTCGGCGTAGTGTGGACTGGAAGGGTGCCAAGTTTGAGAAATGCCGGTTTATCGGGAACTAGGGTTAAAAATAAGAACAATACAATTTATAAGCTTTTTAACCGCTGAAATAAACCCTAAATATGGTTTGTATTCTAATCTTATCTTAGTTAAACAATAATAATTACATGGACAGAGGTTTTTAAAATACAAGGTTTAATGGTACATAAGTTAAATTATCCTGATAATTAGACCAATTCGTAAATTACAAGGAAAAATTTGGTTCGGATTCCACTATAAACTGTAGGTCCCTTAGTTGCCATTAGCTGTATGGGCTATTAATTAACAGCTGTGTCTAAGGAACATGTCGGCCTTAGTCACTAACAAGACTACAAGATCGCGCCACTCATCCTACACTCATCCTTCACTCATATTTGGGTTAAAATACGCACATAGTGGCGTCCCCATCTTAAATAATTGATAATTGATAATTGAAATGGTTAAAATAGGGTTACAAAAATTGTCCAGGGGTGGGGATTCGTGCTGGCCGAATCAAAAGATTTCAAATTTAAATTTTCAGTAAGTTATGGTCAGTTATGAATTAAATAATCTTTTAGAAATAATGAGTTAAATAAGAAGGATTTTGATTTTAATTAAGAGAGGTAAATTGGGTCCAAATGGATGCTTGAAGAGTCTAGTCTGAGTCAATAACTTAATAAAAATGGAATGTTCTCACCAATCTTCTGTAATAATAATTTTCTTCTTAGTTTAAAGGGTTAAATTCTTCTTTCTTCAGTAAAATTTGGAAATTTTGACACTACTTTCTTTTATAATATGACAATTATTTTCACAATTAAGAGTTTAAACTTTTATGTCCTTCTTGGATGCTTTTAAACTGCACACTCCTTTTCATTGTTGTAAATCATATCAAGTTATGGGGTTCACATAAATAAAAACATGGTTGAATTTTATTAATAATCTTGAACCCAGATGGATGGTGTTCTGATTGGAGGATTTGTTTTTGAATAATAATTTTTGAATAAGCCAATGAATAAATTTTGATTATAAAATATATATATGTTGAGACAATATGGTTTTAATAATATTAACAATGGACATGGATAAATATTGAAAATATAACAAGATTGAGTTTGAAATTAAAATAAGGACTATAATTATAAACATTGAATTTTGAGTCATTACACCGCCTTTTTTATTAATATTTATATTACAAGTCAGTATTAAGTCATCAGATATTGCACAACAAATCCTTGGTACGAGTTACGAATGATTTGACTTGAGCTGGCTTGAGTCCATGTTAAACTAGGACTCAAAAAACCACTAATTTTCTGAGCAATGTGATGGTCAAGTTATACAGACTACCGAGTTATCGAGTGACGAGTTTCTGGGACTCTACTGTAGGTTATACATAAAATGTGGCTTGAGAGAAAAATATAATTATAATATGTAGGACTACTAGGTACCAAAAAACCACTAACTAAATAAGTGTACCATCTTTTTCATCTATTTATATTATTAATTCTGTAAGCAAATTTTTAAATAAAAAATGTTGATTTTGACAGCTTGCAGGATGATAAAAAAATATCTTCCATTTTATATGGAGGTGCTATAGCTGCATGAAAATAGTATGCATGAAAATAGTCAGAGTTTTTGACTTTAGATTTTGGTAATGGGAGCGTAAAATCCCATGTTGTCCCCCCAGGGGTGGTCGACAACTTAGAGATGGGGGCGCAAAGTTGTGAAAAACATTAATCGGCAAACATCTTATAACTCCCTTGTAATTGAACGCAAGTAAATGATTTTTTAAATTGACTTTTGATTTTGGTAAAAAGGGCCTAGGCAGGGATATATTTCCGAATAGGCGGACTAGGCGGGTGCCTAGTCTGCCTATTCGGAAATAGGCGGGTGCCTAGGGCGGCAAATTTTAGGGGCGGTAAAATTTTAGGGGTTAAAAATTGGAGGTTTATAGGTTACAAATATTATTAATTATAGGTTTATAACTCCCTTGTAATTAAACGTAAGTAAATGATTTTGGTAGTAAGGGCCTAGGTGAGTGTAAAAACCCATGTCAGCGCCTCCAGGGGTGGTCGACAACTTAGGGGTGTGGCGAAAAGTTGCGTTAAACGTTATTATGAAAAGCCCTCAACAAAGTAATGTAGTTCAAAAGGAGGCAAGGAGCAAGATAGTAAGTGCCCCCTAAAGTACCCCTCGTATCTGACCATGGTGGGAAGGGTCAAAAGGTCAGATTAATGGAATTAGCAAAAATCTCTTTGTACAAGAAAGTTTATTTCAATAAACAAACTGCTTAAGCTAGTCACTCCTCTACTTCTGATGAGTGTAAATCTTGGTGAACTGACTCGTAAACAAAGGACTATTGCTGGCGAATAACCTTTCAAGTATAAACGTTCTTGGCGTTATCGCCCCAAACAGAAAAAAAGTATGTGGTTCCAGACGGTCCAGAGGAATCATGCTGAGGTAGGATATGGGGGGTTCTTTACTGAAGTTGACTTGAGCCAACAGTCTTTTGTTGTAAATGACTGATTTCTGACTTTCAAGCCAACTTTTCAACCAAGACAAACTGATTGAACCGCTTATTGTAAGCTACTATTACATAATCTTTTGCCACATCATCTTTAAAAATGTAAACAATTATTATAAGGGAGAAAACATAATTCTGATATAACTCAATTGATGGGTTTTTTATAAAAGGAGGCTACAGCTGCTCCATATAGATGGGATGTCTATTTCAGGATCCAAAATGTCAATGACACGGCATAAGGAATTACCATAAGCAAGTTACTAAGCAGGAAGCTACAACCAATCATAATATTTACTCTTTAAATACAATCTGCGGCTTAAGCGGCACCACTTTCGGTGGTGGAGGTACGATATCAGTGATCTTCTCCCAGACTCCAGTGCTCCTAAGATGCTTATCTGTCTTGAGCAGAGGTGTAAAATGGATTCGCGCTAGAATATGCTTCTGTCTGACAGCTTCGGTGAACACTTTGTCGTAGAACTTTCCAACATTCTCAATGTTGATGTGGCATTCCGCTTCTTCTTCCGTCAGAAGGATAGTGTTCCAAGGAGACCACTCGACCTCGCGTTGCCATCTTACGTGGGTCAGCTTGGCTAAGTCTCGGTCTTCGCTGATGGCTGAGTGTCCGTGCCAAATAACGCTGGTCAGGAAAAACATCCCGATTTGTTGAAACACGAAGCAGACGGAAGAGTAGCAGTTCTTCTGCATCTCTGAGGTTTGTACCTGAAAACGTGTTCGATTGTGAATTATGTTGACAGAGAGGTTTGAACAGTGGTGTAATCATAGATTTCCCAGAGCGGGAACGCTCTGTCTTGTAAGAACTGCCCAACATAAGGGATTAATTATAGAATTTTTCAAAGAGTAGAGTAAATGGGAGTAAAATAGAGCTCTGTGTTCCCACTCCACTACACCATAACTGAAATTATTGGTTACAGGAGACTGAGGATGTTAGAGTCTTATCCTTTAAATCCCAGTGTTTACACGAGGCCGGTATAGTAGACAGGTTGCAGGACAGGTTACTTGCCAAATGTATTTCAGGTTACCTGAAGCAAGTACCCTGCCTACCAACAGGCCTTATGTATGCGCGGCTTATTGCTGTATGCCTCTCGGTATTCAAAGTTACCATTGAAGTTTGTAAATGTTATTTTATCGATTGGTTCCTATGGGAAATTTTTCTGTCAATGTTTAGTTAACTTTATTTTTGTTTACGATTATAAATATTCATTCATCTGTTTCCTTAGCAACAAAAAAAGCACAAATTTTTATCTTGTTTTATGTCACTGATTCCCTATTATTTTTCATTTTTCACTGCCATACAGATAATGAAAATAACTCACAATTTTGACCTACTAAGCAATACATTTAATTTATCTATTGTTTTTCCATTCACAGCAAAATGTTATGTTGTACAGTCAATGGGAGGGTATTAGCTATATTTTACACAGTAGGTTCAAAATCATTTTTGGACTCTGGGTCCAATTATGGTAGCAAAGCTACTAATTGTGCATGCATCAATTTGTAAGTTGAATTAATGTGAATTTAAATATACTGTCATTATAACAAAAGTTACTATAACCCATTGTCCAATGAAAAATGGAAAAGCTAGAGAAACGTTTCATAGTTTAAAGAGTACAATGATATTTAAATCTCTTTGAGAAACTAAAATATGACCTACCTGTTTGAGTAGCCTCATGTAGGGTGTCATGTCTATCCGCTGGTGTCCCACATTCTGCAACCAATCACAAGACTTGCACACAGTGTAGGCTTTCATCCTGGTATGAACAGGATATCTAGATGCGGGTAGTAGTTTCATACATCTTGTACATTTATAGAGCGCATCATGTTTCTTGGTCCAGTTGGGTATCCTATAACTCGCAACTTTTGGATTGAACTGGGGATGATGGAGGAAATCCATATAGAGCTGTTCGATTCTCTTTCTCAGCATGGATAAGTCAGCGTCTTTTGTACCTATTGCTAGTAAATTTATCTCTCGGTCGATTAACTTAATAATATCTTTTGTGTACTCGTAAGCAGAGTAATTTGACATGAGTTGCTTCAGAGTAATGAGGAAGTCAATTCTATCCTTGGGTGTGACATCTGTTCGCACCAAATCTGTGTAGACTTCCTTGAACTCTCTCGCTCTCTGGGTCGCAGGGTCATCTATGGTGGTCAGTTGCCCGTTAGCGTTCCTGAAGGTCAAAGGACGAGAAGACATCTCGAGAAATCTCAATTGTTGTCTTTTCAGTGCCTCTCGTTTGACTTCAATTCGATGTTTTTCAATTGCAGATAACAACTTGATTTCTTTTTCTAAAAGCGCAACAAACTCAGCTTTTTTCGGCGCTTCCGTTTTCATATCGCAAATCCTCTGCCATTCTTTTTGCCACCATTTGCCCACCATCAGGTACATCATGTAAAAGTCGTCTCTTTTCGATGGAAACGGGTCTGTTAGAATCTTCTCTTCTTTTTCCGCCTGCTCTTTCAACATTTCAATGCGTTGGCGTTTCACGTCTTCCAAGAGGTATCGCTGCAATGCAAATAGTTTATTTACTCGACAACGATGCAGCCAGTGTCGTACAGCTCTTTGAATCTTCATAACCTTTTCTTCAACATTGTTAACCACAAGCCATTCCGCGTACGACTGATAAGGTTTGGCTGATATAACTTTATCCGCTATTTTAGGAATGATCCGATCGCTCTTGTACACTTGTGTGCTTTTTTCAGAAGAAGTGTTTATTTTTGACTCTTTAAGGGGAAAAGGCGTCTGAGTGTCTCGATGGAACAAAAGTGGAACGCCAACTCCTGGCTCAGGGTAATCAAACACTTTGCGTTCTCTGGGAGCGGTCTGTGAGAATGCATGATGGTACTCTAGTTTGGTCAGTTTGTTCCTGTACCCTCCCAGTCATTCCTTCTGTACACATTGATTCTCAATCTCCACAATGAGATCCTTAAAGGTACCATCCTGCCAGATGTGTACAGTAATCACGTCCACCGTGGGGATATACTCGCTTACACTAGCCGCAGTTATGCATTTCCCCGGTTGAGTCGATGTAAGTTTCAACTCGAGAGAACCAAACGGCTCGACACCTAAACCTTGCAAAGGTAACCAGTCATCCACGTCAAACCCATCTTTTTCCAACTTAATCGAGTCAAAGTTCAAATTCAGAACGTCTGATAAACGCTCTTTTACCTCTTGTATGTTTGAGGTAATTTTAAAAGCACAAGCGAACGTTTCTGAATTTTCTAAAATAAATTTCACTGTGACTACTTCTTGATTGGGGGTGTTTTGTGCGCCTGTGTTAACCGCTCTAGACTGACCAAGCACTCCAAATTCTTCTTTGTCACATAGTGGTGGAGAAGAACTCATGTCTTTTCCAGGAGATTCTTTGGAAGTTGTACTTTTTGGACCATCATCGTCAATGTTCTTTTCATTATCCGTTGTAAGATCAGTGCTTTCTTGTTGTATTTTGTCTTTCCTAGGTGATTTATCTTGTATTGATTTATCCTCTTCAATAACTTCATTAGTTTTAAGTATTTCCTCTGTCTTATCCTTGTCTCTCAGATTGGACTGTTGATCTTCATTTGTTGTAGACTCTTGTTTATCTTCTTCTGCAACTACTCTGTTTGTTGTCTCTATATTTGGATCTTCTTTTTCGTGAGTTGATGACATTGTGGAATTTTATTATAGCTGAAAAATCCATGATAAAATACAATACAGAGTGTGGACTATTTTATTTAAGTGTACTGTAGATGGAAAATGTATTGTTTAATCACTAACTAAAGTCTGGGCTTTAGCAATAGTTTCAGCTCATATTTTTTTCTTGTCTTACTTTACTGGAAACAATGATTTTGGTTACAGTACTGAAGTAGATACCTAATCTGTTTTTGTTGAATGTTACAGTGTTTCAATCTCTTCTCTGGTTATAATACAAACAGTAGTTTAAAAATTATCTTCTCTTTGTTTTAAATAATGTAAGTTGGCTAGTTTTTAAGTACAGAAAAGAGAAAAGTTAGACACACTCGAGCATGACTTAGACATATATTAGAACTGTCTTCAAATTATCTGCAAGGATGATAAATGTTTAATGGAGTAAGTTTGAGCTATGGTATATGAATTTTGACATTCATTAATGTTAAGCAAAATCAATTTATAGGTACATACCTACCCCAATGGAAATTGTACTCCAATATTGAACAATCAATTTGACTATCTTTACTTATACAACTTTATTACATAGCCTACTAAGTACAGTATGTAAAAAATAATAGTGAAGCATGTATTGTCGTCCATCAATACAATTACCAGTATATATTGATTCAAGAGTTTAATTTTGGGAGAATTTGGACAGATATATTCTTCCTAAATTAAACTCGTTACGTAAATTCTGATGAGGACTATCCAATAGAAATGTCCTTATTTTTTACTTACTGTAGTACTTAGTTACTGAGTACTCTACAGTTTTAAACTTCTTATGAGTGGAAATAAAAAAATATAACAATTTCACACAAGTTTTTTAATCTGCTCCAAGTTTGATTCAGAGAAAATTATTTTGTGTTTGTACCAATCTGCAAAACATTTTGTTAGATTTTCCATGTTATGTAGATTGTCATTCTAAAACAAGATTAGAAAAACTTTCATTATTTATTCAATTTATTGTGATCACTCACAGAGTCATTGCATTATGTAGGAATAGTATGTTTCTAAAATCATTTAGAAGGACTAAAATATATCAAGGGTTTCCTTTTTATTACATCAATAATAAAAATAATTACTTACCTGAGCTTTATATAAGTAATCCAATCTAATTAATGAACATTGACAGTTCAGTTAGAATACCGTACAACTAATTTGAGACGCGTTTGATGGGTCAAGATGAATTTATTTAAGAGTCGCCCAGCAACAGAATTTCTGTTGAGGTCCCAAGAGGGGGGAGAGGGTTTAGATTTGTCAATAATGCTCAACCTTGAAAACATAACTGGTGGATCCATGGACAATTATAAGCATTATGTGGCTTTGCACAAATTAATTGTTTCCATGATGTGGTTGAAGATTATTGTGGTTGTGTGTTGAAGTTAAAATATTTCCAATGTTATCTTGGTAAAAAAAAAATAGAATAACCAATTTTTAATTAATCTTGCAGCATATAATGAAATTTAAAATCAAACATTTTACTATGAATAAGAACTCGAAATTCCATTCAAATGTTAAAGTTGTAGCCGGATATAAAAAAAATTAACATTAGTTAAATTGAGCTACTGATTGACCGAGAGATCTTAAATAAATTACAGTACTGATTTTTTTAAATATGCTAACTGTTTCACAAAGCAAAACTAAAAGGGCAACTTATCACGACACAGTTACAGCTTTAACAGAAGAAAATATAATTTTTGAATCTAGCACACTTCAAGAGTGTTACATTCAACTATGCTTAGTATGACTACAACAATTGGCTACAGCTGATAAATATGGCATCTACTTATTAAAAAGTCAATGATTAAACATTATGAAAATTATTTGATTCATCGGTTACCATGGAAACACTAAGAGAATCATGATGCAGTGTTGCCAGATTCGCCGGCGAAAATTATCGTACAAGCAGGCCAAAATTATCGTTTTTGGGGCAAAATTATCGTACACACAATTTTATTTTATAATAATATTATTATAATGTAAAACAAGCAAGTCGATGATGGAATGGCCGAAATTTTACTCTATTTGTCTCTGCCACCCACCGTTTTTGCTCTACTAGCCTACCACTGAGCTAGAAAAATGAAAAATATAAATTCTACCGGAGGCAGCACACTATCATACACACACGCGGAATCTGCATCTCTGCTAGAAAAAAATTGAAACGCTGTAAAATGATGGTATTTTCGGTCTCAACTGGAAAAATCAACCAGCTCATTGCTTTATTTCATTCCCCTACTGCCAATGTAATGAGTACAATAATTAATTGAAGGTACAACGTAATCTACCTCTAGTACAAATGGCGGCCAACTTCTCTCAATATTCTCCTATAAACACTTAAGTTGGTAGCCAATGGGCCCTCTCTAACACAGCTGATCACTGAGCTATAATTCTAACTGGAGGTAGCACTGAATGTCAAAGATGCGTGTCGCCAGCCGCCATGTTTGCGTGAGGTGTGAGTTATAAAGAAGCCATGTTATTGGATGAAAAAGCTCACTGCTATACAGACCTAGTTATAGAAGCCATGTCATTGGTTAAAAAAACTCACTGCTATACCAACCTAACAAAATCAGCGACACGCTCTTGACAGACTTCTGCCATGGCAGTGCTACCTCCAGTTATAATTTTAGCTCAGTGCAGCTGATGCCTTTGCAAGGTTGCCAGATCGAACAGCAACGAAGTGATGTTACCGTTTTTCCATATATTAAAAGTGGGAAACGTGTTTAAATGTATAATAATCAATATGAAATAGTTTATTTTCCAGCCCCCAAAAAATAATCGTACATTATGACAAAAAATCGTACACAACGTCAAAATTATCGTACAATTTTTCAAAATTATTTTTTATGGGGAAGGAGCAAAATAATCGTACAAATACGATAATTATCGTACACCTGGCAACACTGTCATGATGTTAACAACTCTGCTTATGCTGAAACACAGCTGATTGAAACAGAAAAAAAGTCAAATATTTTTGTGTAGGCCTACTGCTAAGTTTAATGCTTATTTTGTTTTATGAAGATGTCAATGAATAATAAAATACTTAAAATTATTTAATCATGTTGTTAAGTAAACATACTGGTTATTGAATGTCAATGCAGCACACAGTTAGGTATGGATTGTTAAATATGAAGGCAAGTGAGTGAGATTATCTGCAAAGTTTTGCCACAGACTAAAATCAGCTGTTTATTTAGCCAGAAACAATTATCAAATCCCAATGGTGAGTGACAATGTGGTCTAGAATTGTTTGAACCAGTAACCATCGAATTAAAAGGTGAGAACTTTCTCTTATCATTCCATTACTCAGTCAGTATCTTATAATGTAAAATTACAAAGGTAGAGGCTTGGTAAATTTACATGTAAATCAACTGAATATAAAAAAATAAACACATTTATTGTCAAATACTCACATACAAAATATTTACAACATTCAAACCCTACCTGTATAGATTTTAATTTTGACTGTTGGATTGTGAATCTTTCATTGTTGATAGTAGTAGAAGTAGTAGTGGCCTGAAAAAAAGAATTGATCTATTAAAATTCATATCAAAAGTACTGAGATTATGGTAGGCCTACATATCCTAATAAAGGTCTATTTATGTATTCAGATTATCACTAGAAGTGTTAATAATAACTGCAAATACATTCTAGTTAAATTTTATACCAACAAATGAAGGTGTTAGGGTAAAAATATATCGGAGCGGCGAGGCTACGCTCTAGCTGAGTGAGTATAGAATAATATATGTAGGTGTGCCAGAACATAGTGGAGCGGGTAGCATAGCTGGTACCTGTGCCGATTTTGCCATTTTACCTCTTTTGCCATTAGGCCTTATCAATTTCTTTACAAAATCAGTAGGCTACATTTCACCCTTATATTATTATATATTAGAATTTATATATATACTAAATTACTGTAATCCAGCATTACCACTCGCTATCCTTGCCGCTTTAACATGTCAAGTGAGACTGTCATCGGGGGAAAAAAACTCTGGGTGGCAGGATATTTGATCATTTAAATACTTAAAAAACACACATATATGTCAGCTACAGAGAGCTGCGATTGGTGTCATTCTGTTCACAAATAATGCCAGTAAGTGACGAGGAGCCTTGTTACAGCCTAAAAAAAACTACCAACCCTTGTACACAAGAAAGGCCCTTGCTAAAAATCCCCACTTGTAGAACTTAATTTTTTATTAGAATTTCCCAATTTCTCT